ATGATGAAAACAGTGTACGCTGGCACAGGAAGAGCAGGTGGGTCAGTGGAACAGAAGAACAAGTCTAGAACCAGACTTAGCCATAAACAAGAACTCAGTATACAACAGAGGCGGCAATTTCAGATAGTGAGAGAAGACTGATTCCGTAAGGGTAAATGACAAACTAGACAATTATATGATACATGAAGAGGCAATCTCTTTCATATATATCCTTCATATAGTAGAATCTTTTAAAAATAAAGAAAAATATAAACTCCTCAGTAGAAAATTGGGCAAAGGTTATTTAACAGGCAATTCACAAATACACAAACTGGCAAAGATATGAAAATTATTAAACTGTGCTAGTAATACAAGAAATGCAAATTAAAACAAATTTGTGTGTTTCTGTTTGCTTTTTACTTATTAAATTCATAAAAGTCTTAAGGTAAAATATAAACTTGTAAAGGTACAAGGAAAATATGACCTATAACCCGCCTGGTGGGCAATCCAGCAGTCAACATCAAAAACCGTAACAATGTGGATACCATGAATTCCACAACTATACATTTACCCTAAGGAAAGAATTATGATGTTGGACAGAGAATTACCCATAAGGTAGTTTAAGCAAGCATCACTTATATTAGCAAAATACTGGGAAAGGGCTTCCCTGGTGGCGCAGTGGTTGACAGTCCGCCTGCCAATGCAGGGGACACAGGTTTGAGCCCTAGTCCAGGAAGATCCCACATGCCGCGGAGCAACTAAGCCCGTGCACCACAACTACTGAGCCTGCGCTCTAGAGCTGCAAGCCACAACTACTGAGCCCACGTGCTGCAACTTCTGAAACCCACGCGCCTAGAGCCGGTGCTCCGCAACAAGAGAGGCCACCGCAGTGATAAGCCCGCACACCGTAAGGAAGGGTAGCCGCCGCTCGCCACAACTACAGAAAAGCCTGCGCGCAGCAACAGACCCAACACAGCCAAAAATAAAAATAAATTAAATAAATAAATTTAAAAAAATACTGGGAAGAACCTAAAATAGGGGATTGGTTATATGAGTTATGGCACATCCATATGATGTAATACTGGGCATTCACTAAAAGTAATGTTAGAAAAGGAGATTTAACGGTATTGGAAAATGTTCATAACGTAGCTTGAAAAGAAGCAAATTATTTACTATATAATCCCATATTGATTTTTAAAAAGTATGCACAAAAGTCTAGGTGGATATAGAACTCAGCGGTTGCTACTGCTGCAAGGTCTATTACATGTAATGTTTATTTTCTTTGTGCTTTTCTGAACTTTCCAATTTTCTACACTAAACTATTTTTAAAGTTACTTTCCAAAAAATAATTGGAAAGATACATTTCAAAGTTCCATCGGTTTCCTTGGGCTGCTAGAATTAGGGATGATTTAATTTTTAGTATGATTTTCTATATTTCTCAAAATTTTCTACAAGATTAGTTTTAACAAAAAAGAAAGAATGACGACACACTCACCAAGGGTGTTTCCTTAGGAGGACAGACCCACAAAATTACTTACAATGCAGAGAAGCACAGGCCAAGTGACAGACATATCTACAGTGAGACTAAATGGAGCCCTCTGCCCTGGGGGCTTGGTCTCTGTGGGCTCAGGATCCCCAGCACCTAGCACCCAGCATCTTTGGTGCTCCATGAATGCCTAGTCTATTGAATGAAAAATACTGCTGCTGCCACCAATACCACCTCCCACCTCCACCTTTCTAGAAGTCTTTTCTTCTATCTTCCCACCAATGCCAAGATTATTAAATGGGTGGTGTTCAATATAGTATTCTCATAGTGGAGTCCTGATGCACACCAACTCTCCAGAATCTCTAACGTGCCTCAGAAAAGGTTTCTGCGTGAAAAAACTAACACAGGTATAATGAACTTCGCAATATTAAAGAGAAAAAAAATCCAATTACTGAAAGTTCTTTTCCTCAGTTGCTTTTTTGTTTTTTTGAGAGCCATGCCAATCTTTTTAAAACATGTGATGTTAAGGTAAAAAATGGCAAGGGTGTATTAGCCTTTAGCAAAGTGGTACTGTTTTATAGGATTCAGCTACTGAAACCAAGGGGACTACAAATGCAGCTGTTCAGCGGACCACCAAACCCTAAAATCTTAAGCAGCTACACTATACGGGAGAAGAGCCCAACAATTTTAACCCTCCCTCCCCCCACCCCGGATTGCAGCAACCAGTGCTTGGTTAAATTAAGTAAATTTGAGTCCTGACTTCCTTCTCTTCTGCTCACATGCTCTAGGCTAGAGAAAAAATGCTCAAGACCTTAGAAGACCAAATTCCAAAAAAAAAAGGACAATAAGGAAACTAGATAACTAACCTTTCAATAAGCAAAAGTAGACTGGTCACATGCAAGCAATCTGAATTATAAGCAGCTTGCTCAGTGATGACTTCAAATCCAATTTTCTAGAAACTTTGCCTCCACAGCCTCCTGTGCAGGCTGTTTCTGTGTCCTTCTCGTTAGACAAACTACATTTCTCCAGGATAGAGACCATGCTGATTTAATACCCCAGTATGAACTTACTTAGTACCCAGTACTGAGCACAAGCTCTTAAGACACTGTAGGCAGAAAATAAACATTCTTCAACTGCTAAAATAAATGATAGGGACTAAGAGTCCACATGCTGCAACTAAGACCCGGCGCAGCCAAAACACATAAATAAATAAATAAATAAATATTTTTTAAAAAAATGATAAAATCGACATCCTGTGGTATTCCTGCAGAGGTAAAAGGCTCAAAGCTGTAGTAAGCCTAAGAGCCCTTACCTGAAGGGATGAAATTTTAATAATAAAAATAAATGCCTAAAAAAAAATGCCTAGGGGGAGGAGAACTAGAAGACTTTTCAGCAGAAATAGTCCCAGTTTACCCAGTTCACCCCAGAGGCAGGAAGATGGGAGAGAATCTAAAGATGAGAAAGAGAAGCCACATCTGAAGACCTTTCTGTCTTCAGAAGAGATACTCTGGAGTTTCCAGTTCATGATACGTAAATCCCTAATGCATAAAGACGCTCTGATTTCAAACATGGTCAGTCACGATCACAAAGAAACTGAAAGGGGAGAAGAAGGATGGGGGGAAGCACACGTGCGAGGCACACTCACCTTGCATCCATCTCTCTCACACACGCTCGCGTGCACGCACGCACACACACACACACACAGTGGAGTGATGCTAGATCTTTGCCCTGTTCCAAGATTTTCCTTCCTAGTCAGGGCCTGGTCTGCCCTTTCACTGAGGAAACATGTCATTCACATCCTGACTATCAGAGTCAGGCTCCCTCTTCAAAGAGGGTTTGCATGAAAAAACCACATATATTTACAGAACCATCATTACATATCATCTTCTTCATGCAGGCCACCAAGAAAGCCACTCAATCTGGATGGGTAGCCTGTACTTCAAACTGATGGGAGCTCAGAGACCAGAATGAGGCTTGTTAAATGGTTTGGAACCCTGGCTGCATATGAGAATCACCTGGGGAGTTTCTATAAAAAAATACTAGTGCAGACTCTCAACCCAAGCCAGTTAAATAAGAATTGCTAGGGATGAGGTCTGAGCATTGGTGTTTTTTGGGTTTTTTTTCCCCTAAAGCTTCACAAAGAATTATTAATTTTTTTTCAGCATGGTAAAAGCAAGTGGTTATGTCTTTTTTTTTTTTTAATCTTTACTAGAGATAGAAGAAAATGTGCTTTAAAACACTCCACAGAGAGGGGTGGTTTTGACTATACAAGATTGGAAAAATATTGATAATTGTGGAAGCTGGGTGATGGATACATAGGAATTGATTACATTATTCACTTTACTTTTGTATATTTGAAAAGTTCTATAACAAAAAGTTATTTTATAAAATCAGCAGAGGGACTTCCCTGGTGGCGCAGTAGTTAAGAATCCGCCTGCCAATTCAGGGTATGCGGGTTCGATCCCTGGTCTGGGAGGATTCCACATGCCGCGGAGCAACTAAGCCCATGTGCCACAACTACTGAGCCTGTGCTCTAGAGCCTGCAAGCCACAACTACTGAGCCCACATGCCACAACTACTGAAGCCCGCACACCTAGAGCTCGTGCTCTGCAACAAGAGAAGCCACCGCAATGAGAAGCCCATGCACCACAACGAAGAGTAACCCCCACTCGCTGTACTAGAGAAAGCCTGAGCGCAGCAATGAAGACCCAACGCAGCCAAAAAAAAAAAAAAGGCATCCGCAAGAGACAAAAAATAAATACATAAAATAAATCAGTAGAAATAAAAATTTGTTCTCTTACCCCCAAGTATATGAGTGTATGTGTATAATGTATTTCATATAAAAATATTTAAAAACATTAAAATAAAAGCTTTGCAAGTGATTCTAATGTGCAACCAGAGTTGAGAATGACTAGGCTATGTCATTTGAAAAATAAAGATTTAAATAAGCAGCAAGAGGGGACCTAGGTGAGAGACAAACTCCAGCTTGTGGCAAGATGGAGCCCGGTGAGGGTGGCCAGCCTCGTCTGAGTGCCTCACCATCTCCAATTTCTGCTGTGCATACATTTTCCTGACTTTTGAGAATCTTTATTCACAAGTGAACTGTAAATACACATACACACATATGTATGTGTATGTGTATCTATATCTATATAGATCTATATATATACATCTATATCTATATATCTGTGTGTGCATGATGTAAGACAGCGCTACCAATTATATTCAGTAGCATGTAATTTTTAAAAAACACTATTTGTAGAAACACTGCCTCTGACCTAAAACGCTTTGGCCTTAGAACAGTCACACAGAAACACATTGCTCGGGAAGAGGAGGCTGCGGGGGCTGAGGATTGGGGGTGTTGTCTTTGGGTCTATCTAAGTGATGTATGAGCAGTGCTGATTAGAGGACCCTGAGTAAACTCTTGTATCAGGTGCTAAGTGTGGGAAATTAAGAGCCACAACTAAGTCTCAACTTAATGAAAAAAGAATACATCAAAACTCCCCCCATCCCACCCCCAGAACCCGCAACTCACCTATTCTTCTCCATTTCATTGTGAGTCGATCTGAAAGAGGGAACAATAAAAGTAAGATTATTCTTGTCTTAAAGGACTACTCCAACACCAACACGATTATTTAAACTGCTTTCTCTCCCAAGTTGGTAGGAGAGAAGACAGAGAAAGGGCTCTACTAAAGAAATTAGTCCCTTTGGGGAATTAGATAAATGTAAAGATCTAAAACAGAGTTCAAGGAGAAGTGACAAACTAAGAGGCACGCATTCCCTAGTGGAAAAGTAGTCCATTTTAAGAAAGGAAATAAGAGGATTCTATTTACACAAAGAGGAGAACAGCCACACACTGCTATGTGAATTTGGGCTGTATAACACCGCAAAGCTCTCTTCAGGCCGAGTGTGCAGCAGTGGAGATGGGGGACCCCACCCCAGCCCTGCAGCCTCAAGGTGTGCTGTACACCAAAATTGTAGGCTAAGTTGTTTGACTATAGGATACAGTTTAAAATGGATAAAAATAACCCTTCTTTGCTCAATCTTTCTATTTCCTGAAGTTATTTTATCATGTACAACCTCCTGAAAGATGCTACTGTTGAAGAGCTACCAAATTATTTCAGGAAGAGGCTTCCAAGACTCAGCTCAACGGAAAGACGATAGGCTAGTTAAGGCAGCACTTTGGGTGGAATCTCAAGTCCAGCTTTGCCACCGACTGGTACTGTGAAAGAAATAAAATTCCTTACCATCCTGTCCTCGGTTAACCCCTCTGTAAAATGGAAATAAAAATGATTGCCAGTTGTCTACTGAACAAGCGTGGATCAATGAGGTAGCAACTGTAAAAGTGATTAGAGAGTCTTGGATGAAAGCGGAGGTGTATGTGAAATCATACTCTTAGTGTGTTTATAGCTGACCCTGAATATAAGGTCTGGTCTAAGGATTTATGGACAGGTTTCCACAGAAGTCATAAGAAATCAGTCAATGTGGCTATTGTCCTTCTCATACAACTCATGCCTAACTAGTTATAAATAAACTTGAGGAACGTCCCAGCATTATAAAGGAGCTGAATCTTGACTTTACTTATGGAAATTCTCTGGACCCTAATCAGTTCAGGAGAGATGACACCCTGGCTCAGGTCGAGAATTCTGTGGGGCCATAACTGGAAGCTTACTAGGAGATAAATTCTCACAGTAATCATGGAGGAACACTACCTCTGTGAACGCTCAGCCACTCATTTACATCAAGAGGCACCACCACCAAGTTCATTCACACCAGAGACTGGGGGTGGGGTGTGTGTGGGGTAGTCTTGAATGGGAAATTTCCAACCCAGCACTAAACTTCTCTTCCACAAGGCTTCTGGGGTGCCAATTTTTATTCATGAGGAAAAACAAATAATAAGATAATGACAGTATTTTCAATTTTAGAATATTTGTTTTCTAGATAAAGGACATGGGAACCTTAAAACTGGTTGACTTAAAAGCTTTAAATTGATTCACTTGGTTATCCTTCAGTGTTCTTCAGTTATATTTTTCTGATGGTATACTTCCTGCAATGGCCATCAGGATATCACAGTTAACAAGGGTCTGGCCTGCAACTGCAAACGTTTGGCTTTAAAGCACGTGGCATTCTGGTTTTAACAGGGAATAACAAGTTCAAAGCCTGACAGATTTTTTAAATGGATGAAAGTGTATGATGAAAGCTGGTCAAGATTTCCCTGTTTAACTGCAGACAAGGACCATTCTGGGAAGGTGGCGGAGGAGAGAAGGGTGGATATTTGAAAAGAGCATGGTCTCTGATTATAAAAAAATTGTAGCACACAGGGCACCCTTACCCAAAATTTCTGGATTCTTTGAAGATACATATAAAAAAATTCAGAATCCCCAAGATAATCTTTTAAACAAATTCCATAAGCAGCATAACTCCTTCCGAACTTTGAACAGAGCTTTGGAAACTACAGATCTTATCTGATTACTTAAGAGTGTTGAACATATGGTGATTTCTACAAGCGGACTTATACCTAATGGCTAGGGCATTACTGAAGTACATTTGGTTTAGTGAAACTGAATTCTTCTTTAATAAAAAGCAGGCCGTTCAAAAAATGACCAGTTAAGAGACTGCCCGCCAACTCTGTTGATGGGAAAACATTTATATTTTAAATTAAAGCATTATAAGAATATACAGATACTTTGTGTCAAAATCATCTTCCTTGTGTCAAAATCATTTTCCATGGGATTACTGAAAAGATTTGATAACTCTGAAATCACTGATAAAGGTCAAATGTCACCATTTAAAAATATATTCTAACAAAAAGATAACTAAGCCAAACCAGTCCTTGGTTTAAAAAAGACTCACCCTGTCAAGTCAGCTATATGGCCACTGTCTCATAAAAGTTCAACAAGTGCTGAACTTCCTCGTTCACATTAGTGCCAATGCCTGCTTTACCAATTTAACAAAACATACTTTTAAAAACTCTGGATTTCAATTCTAAATATTTAGTAACTGATTTCAAAAATCAGTAGGAAAGAAAAAAAAAAAAAGATTCCATCTCCCTGCAGTTCTCTGGATGATTCCAAGACAATCAATATTCACAATTTCATTTGTTTTTGTTCTTTAAACAAGCAACTAGAGAAACTTAAGATCTGCATTTTCATTTCCCAAGAAGTTTGATATGTAGCTAAATCTTATTTTTTATTGTCCAAGGAAAAGTACACCCCCCAGACACTACAAGCAAAGAGCCCAGCATTTCAACCTGAATTAACAAGAATAAACTGTTACCAATGGTTATGTAAACCAGCAGTAATCTTTCTATAGCCCTTACCTCAGTTCAAAATCCTGACCATATATGGCCTTGGATATAAGTCTAATTCAAATCAAGGGGTCAAACTGCATTCTCTGGGGAGATGTCTCACTGCTCAGGTAAGGGTCATTCTGAACAGGTCATGAAGGAAGTGAGTACATTTAAACAAAACAACCTGCTCTTGCTTCATATGTTTGCTTGGTGCCATCTTCAGGTTTAATCATGGTCTCTCAGAAATCCTTGCACCACTTAAGTTATTGCACAAATTCATTATTAGTCAAGAGTATGGACAACGGTGATAGCCTCCGGTCTCTAACCATGGAAAGCAAACCAAACCCATTGACAGAAATAACAGAGTTTTTCCCCAAATCCGGAGTTGCAGCCATTTCCCCAGAAATAAAGGTGGATATTAAAGAGAAGAGAAAGAAGCTATTTCCTGAATTGAAATTCTCAACTATCATTATTTTTCTTTCCTAATCAACTTTGGGGCCAAGCTACTTCTCTTCAACAACATCCCCTTCTTTTCCTCACCACCGAACATCCCCTCAACAACTTTCCCGTGAAACTTAGAAAAAAATGAAACTCAGAAAAAAACAGAGTGCTAAGGATTAAGCTTAGAAAAAAACAGAGTGAAAACTTTGAAAAAAATAGAGTGAAACTTAGAAAAAAATAGAATGCTAAGGATTAAGCCTTGACTATTAATGTGAGCAATTCCTCTCAAATCATGAGTGGACAAGGATAAAAGTAACAAATGAGCTACACTTATCCAGAAAAATAAACCAAAAGGCTTCAACGTTCTTCCAAAAAAGTTTTTAAAAATACTGTAACAAAAAGCAACACATAAATTGTTGTATACCATTGCATAATACAAGTCAGCATTAACCTTCTTCTTAAAGGCTGTCAGTACTCATGCACAGTTTTACTTGTTGCCACCTTCAGATAATGTTAAAGGTGGGAGGGAAATTTACAAATTTCAAGAACTACCAGGTAACTAATTAACAGATCCATCCTTCATGTGCCTTCCTATTCAAGAGCTCCGCACATATGTGCTGTTCACTCATATCCTGTGGTTCTTCCAGTGCTAAGGACAATGGGGTGAATCAAGGACAGAAGAGGCAGCAAGGACAAGGGAGTTTAAAGTTTAAGTGGGAAACCTCTGGCTTTTAGTAGTCTGTATTATGCCACAGACGCTAACCAAATACAGTTACTCGCAGGGAATTTTCATGAGAATGGGAGACAGATAAGGATTCTAAATCAGTGTTGAAAATGTCAATGTTTTTAATTTACTGGAATAAAAGGTATAATTGAATGAGTCTAATAAAAGCAGATTTCCTAGCTAACATATATTAAGGGCAAAGAGGGGAAAAAAAGGGTGCAATAGCATTAGTGGAGTACTCAGCATGTACCAAGAAGTACATTCAGGGTTTTAGTATGTGATTTCATTGACCATTAACCAGTATTTACTTCCCAGTGAAATTTACAAATTTCAAGAACTACAAGGCTAACATAAAAGGGTTGTGGCATATTAATATTTTAATATTATATGTTCCTGCATCACCAAAAAGGCAGGTTTTAGCCTCAGTCGTTCCTCTTTGCTGTTATAAATAGAGTGACAAATTAGATTATCAGACACATAACTGTATTTAATTTACATGTCAAATATGAAATCCTATCACCTATGCCAAGTCAAATACTTTAACACGCTTATAAAATCTTTACTATGAAAAGTAAAAAGTGGATAATGTCCAGTATTTTCAATTATAGAAAACTTGCCCTGAATCTGCAACTTCTGAAGGCAAAATATTGTCACTGTTGCTAATCTCACTTGAAGTTTCCACAGATTTTTGTTCCAAAAGGGAAGAAAAGCAAAATTAAGTTTTAAAAAAAGTTCATAAAGAAATAGAAAACATTTCCATTTCTCTCTTCTTTTCAGTCCCCTCAACCCAAATAGAAGGGCTTCCTCCAACGCCTTAAGACCATGTGTACATTACTGAATCATGATCGCCACTTCATTTACATGATTATAACCCTGTTATAATCACAACAGGCAACGTCCATTCTGCAGTTTGTATCATCTACAGTATAACCTAAAAGAGAAAGGGAAATATTTACCAAATTACCTGCTACTGCTGTTATTCTTCTTGGATTTGCTCCTCCGTTTTAAGGCATCTCTGTCCTTGTTATTGTATGGTAACATGGAGGCATAACCATGTTCAGCTTCTAGAAAACCGGAGGATCCAGTTAATGAATGAGCCCCGAACATTCAACACTCTCTCCCCTCCACAGTACTTCCTTTTTAAGATTGATTTATTTTTCATTAAAAGAAGATTGTGGAAATAATTAAACGGAGCAAGGTGGAATTCTTAGAACAATGATTGGTTTTTTTTTTTAATTGAGTGAATATCCTCGGTGAGGAGCAGGTGTAAGGAGCATTCCAGCTGCTCATTGTTGAGAAAGACAGCAAGTCTCCTGGAGCCTGGGTTTCCCACTGGCAACGTCCAGCAGGTTGGTGTGTATTAAGTGGGACCAGCCTCAGGCGAAGGTGCGGGGCAAACACCGGGAGCCAGAGCCCGGGAGGGACGGTGGGGGGCAGGGGAGGCGCTGCTCCTCCGTCTGCGAGACCCGGCGCCAGGCCCACTTGGGGGCCGGCCGGGACGAGCCCCAGTGAGGTAAACCAAGGGCCTGGCTGAGGGGGCCCCGGGCCCCCCACTCGCGACGGGGTGCGGAGCGGGCGGCGCTCCGGGCCCCGGGGCAGCGGTCCCTTTTCCACCCCCATTCATTGCCTTTGGGGCAGCGGCGGCCTCCCTTCGGACCGCGCGTGGGGAGAGCTGGAGGGGTTGGGAGCGCTCGAGGTCGCGCTCTCAGCTCCTCCAACTACCCCCGAAGCAGCTGGGCACCCGGACCTGCGGCTGGGCCCCTCAGAGCCCCCAGTCCCCGCTCGGGCCGGACTCCTCCCGTCCCCGTGCACCTCTCTCCCGCCGCTCCAGGTAGTCGGCCGCCTCCAGCAGCATCTGGATGTTCATCCGAACCGCCGCCGCCATTCTGCACCGGGGTCCGGAGCCACTGGACCAACCCCCACTGCCCACGGGCTCGCCGCCGCTGCCGCCGGACACCCACGCCCCGCTGTGGACCCCGCAGAGCAGGGCTGAGAGAAGCTCTCTGGCGACCACGCTCGCCGGAACGGGGAGGGACCGGTGAGCCGAGCACCACCGACACCGTGACAGAACCCAAAGAAGAGCAGCAGCCGCCACCGCCGCGGAGTGTTTATCCCCGACTCACCGTCCCCCCGCCCCCAGCCCCATCTCTTGACAGGCCCGCTTCGGCTGCGTTCCTCATTGGGCACCCCAAAGAATGCCCCGCCTCTGGCGCTGTCCGATTGGGGGAAGGCATCACAGCCCCGCCCCTCAGGGTCCGCTCCTCTCGCTGGTTGGTCACGCTTGATAAGGGCCGGGCTCCACCCTCTCTTTCCAATTGGTGATAGGATTCGCAACTCCGCCTCGTGCTCCTTCCCTGTTTTCCATTGGTTCTATACCGACAACCGGGCCCCCTTTTGCTTTGTTAGTATTGGCCAAGAGCTACAGAAAGCAAGCCACTCTGCCTGTCTCCCATTGGTGGAACCTTCCTACACCGCCCAGCTACGATGACGTCACCTTTCCCCAGGCCAGCGAGCCCTGAATGGCTGGTGGTCAGCGGCCCGGCTACTCCTCGCGGGATGTGGCATGGGCCGTCAGGGCTGACCCGGGCGCCGACCGGCGCTGATTCACCGGCTGCCGCCGGGCTCGGCCCCACCCGACCCCACCTCGGACCTGTTGCCGGGACCTGTCTCTGGGGAAAAGTTCCGGGGACCTGCTGGGCGTCCCTCGAGCGGAAGCTGGCACCGCGCGTCACCTGGGCGCTCTGCCCCGCTTGGGTTCGGGGCTGGATCCCTGGGCCTGCCGGCCGAGACCCGGAGGTTACAGGCTTCCCGAGGTCGAGGGCCCAGCCGCGAAATCTCTCCGAAGGGAGAGCGGCAGACAGCCCGACGGTAGGGCGGTGGGCCTGGGGCTCCGCCGAGCGCCACGTGGCTGAGGGGCTCGGGGGAAAAGCCTGTCTCCTGTCCAGTGTTCGCCGCCCAGCGTTTTTTTCTCTCTTCAGAAAGCGCTGGAGTAGGGAGGCTGTATACAGAGCTGAGCTCTCCAAAGGCACTAGGCACTACCCCCGCCCCAAGTGCTGGCTAATTACTCCCTCACGCGACTGGGTTTTAAAAGCTCAGAAACTTCCTGTACCTACAGATTGGCGTTGAATTCTGAGATTCTTTGACATAAATCTCTTTCGGGGTCTTTCCCTCCCTTTTAATTCTAGAGGAGAACACTCAGAAAGAATCCTTCCTTTTCAAGACGGCTATGAATGGTGTTTGTGTGGTACCAATATAAATGTACATAGACAGAACTAAAAACTTTATTTAGGAATTGTTCCCTAAGCTATCTCAAGACCCAAGTTACTCTGTTAATATACTGACATCTTCGTTTTAAGAAACGGAAATAAAACTCTTCGTAAATTGAGAGTCCTGAATATAGAAATGAGTAAAGCATGAACACATTTAACAAAGCTTTTTATTAAAGTTTATTGTTGCCAATATGTGAAAACAATAGCCTGTCAGGTAACTTACCTACATTATTGCTAATCCTCAATATAACCCCATTAGATAGGTTAATTATCTACATTTTGCACATGAGGAAACTGATGCCCAAGAAGCTAAATGACTTTCCTAGACATCCATTCAGCCAGAAATGGAAACTGAACCTAGATCTGTTTCACTCAGAGCCCATGGTGTCAATGCTCCAGTTGGTAGCTGTTCTAAAAACAAGACAACTAAGAGACGGATTTCCATATGAGTCACAAACAATGACACTCAAACACTGGGGAAAAAGAAAGAAACACATTACGATGGTAAGTTTTTAAATGTGTCCTTTTTAATGGTTAACAAATCCATTAAAATTAAATAAACTCAACAGAATTAATACGTAGAATAAATGCAGTAAACCAGGCCTGACATACAGAACACATATTTTCTGGTTTTAATGGTTAATTGGACCTAAAAGGTGATTCTTTATGAAAACTAATAAATATTCACCTTTACCACTGAAGATAAAGGTTTTCAAGAAAGCACAAAAAAGCTAGAAGAATGGGGATATAAGTTTTAAAGAGTATGTTTTAACTGCAAGTTATCTGTAAAACAAATTTGAAAATCATAGTGAAATGAATACAATTCTAAAGTGCCCAAACTGACAGTAAAAACACTTTGATTTCATTACCTTAATTTTGGATTTTGTATACTTCTATATTTTCTCTTTGATTTTATTATGAACACTCAGAATCTCTTTACTCTTTCCCTTACCCTCAACTCTTTTTTTTAAACCCAGTCTTATTTCAAAGTCATGATCCTTCCCCTAGAATTGCCCTGACTGAAAATCTCACTTATACAAAATTAAAAAAGGAAAAAAGTTTGAAATCTTAGATATACCAAGGAACCATTTAAACACCAACAGGTCTATCTTAAACTCCAAACAAAAATACTAAGTTATATGACAATCAGAGAATTAGACTAAAGAATGACCCCTTTCTGTTCCTTGGCAGTGGTGGAAGACAAGATCAGTAAGCCAGCAATACCAACCAGGAATTAGTATCATGAAGAACTCCAAAGGGCATTTGGTGCCATCTACTGGACATCAAGCAGTAAGTATAAAACAAAGGGTTTTTTCTTGTTTTTCTGGAAATTATTTTACACAAATACATTATAATGACCAGTTAAATAAGATAATCTGAAAGTACAGATTTTGAAAAAAGAAATGAAATCCTAAAACAAAGTACAAGTGGTGACTCCCAGCATCGAGCACTTCAAAGGCATTACATAAGCACTGACAGATAGGCACAACCCCCAAAATAAGAATTCGAAATTCCAGAATGTTTGAACCTGAATTTTATGACCAGAATTTTAAATAAAAAGCTATCTGTAATAAGATAAACGTAGGCTGACAATGGTTTATATCTTTGATCAGGCATCAAGCTAAACTAATAGAACTGGGGAGTAAAAGAAAATATTGAAAATGGGAACCACAAAAGATTATACTTGTCAGATAATCTTTACTACATATTTTAGAAAGCCCCAGTTTCCTTCCTCTGAGGGGTTTATAATCCAGGTGGGTATAGGACAGTATGTAAATGCCGGTGCTGAGGGGAAGGTTCATTAAATGCAACAGGAGCTCTGCCAGAGAGGTGCTTTTCAGTGAGTACCTCAGAGTGGCAGGGAAGACAACTGTTGATATTATATAACTGTCTAAAAAGTTCCAAAACTGCTGAATTAAAAAACACTATTTATAACTGAGTTTGACATAGTTAACCACTATGACATTAAAATGAATTCTGTTTTATAAGTTTGTGAGGAACTGATTTTATTCTTCTAAGTGTAAAAATCAGAACTGTAATTTTCTGCTTTAATATCAGTCCCTTTCTTTGTGGCTACTTTGGACACTCAAATATCATGATACCCAATATCAGAAAATTAAAATTTAAAAACCTTTAAAAACACTGCTTTGCAAAAGTTAGTTATTCCACAAATATTTGCTACTTTAAAAATAGAGCAATGGCTAGACAGGGGTACATACATTACACTGAACACTATGTAGCAGTTAAAAAAAAAAGGTAGAGGTACATACGTTGGCATGGAAACATCCCCAAGGCGATGCTGAGTAAATAAGTTGTAAAATGATCCCTAAAGCATATTATTTCTGTTAAAAAAAAAAAAAAAGAAGGCCATACTGTGTATTTTCCTCATTTCCAACACTAACTCTGTTACATACATACATGCATAAGATCTGGAAGTAAACACCACAAAGGATTCACACAGTGAACCAGGGCTGTGCAAAACAGATTTAGCTGTCATAATGTTTTAAAATTTTTATAGGAAAAATGTATTCATTTATGAGTTGGGGAACTAAAGGTTAACTTAGAAACCAAGGGAAGTGGAGTGAAGTAAGTCAGACAGAGAAAGACAAATATCATATGGTATCGCTTATATGTGGAATCAAATGAACCTATTTATAAAACAGAAATAGAGTCACAGATGTAGAAAACACACTTACGGTTACCAAGGGGGAAAGGGGGGAGGGATAAACTGGGAGATTGGGATTGACATATACATACTACTATATATAAAACAGGTAACTAATAAGAACCTACTGTATAGCCCAGGGAACTCTACTCAGTACTCTGTAACAACCTATATGGGAATAGAATCTAAAAGAGTGGATATTTGTATATGTATAACTGATTCACTTTGCTGTATCAGTACAGCAGAAACTAACACAACATTGTAAATCAACTATACTCCAATAAAAATTAATTTTAAAAAAACACCAAGGGAAGTGGTTAAGTGAAAAAAGTTTACTGAACTATATTCATGAATTCAACAGATATTTATTGAGTGCTTTACTGTGTGCCAGGCACTGTGTGGTGCCAGGGCTACAGCAGCAAACAAGACAGAAGCGCTACTCCTGAAAGTTCAAAGCCTAGTGGAAGAACCAGACAGTAACAGGTGAATATAGAGTGTGTCAGGCCGTGATAAGCTATAAGGAAAAGGAAACTTTGCAGAGCATGTGGAGAAACTGGAACCCTCATACATTGCTGGTGGGAATGTAAAATAATGCCGTTGCTTTGGAAAACAGTTTTGACAGTGCCTCAAAAAGTTAAACATAGAGTTACTGTATGACCCAGTAGGGCCTCTCCTAGTTATACACCCAAGAGAGTTGAAAACATATGTTCATACAAAAACTTGTATATGAATGTTCATAGTGGCACTATTCGTAATAGCCAAGAAGTGGAACAACCCAAATGCCCATCAACTGATGACTTATAAATAAAAATGTGGGGACTTCCCTGTGGCGCAGTGGTTAAGAATCCGCCTGCCAATGTAGGGGTCACGGGTTCGAGCCCTGGTCCGGGAAGATCCCACATGCCGCGGAGCAACTAAGCCCATGCGCCACAACTACTGAGCCTGCGCTCTAGAGCGCGCGTGCCACAACTACGGAGCCGGCGCACCTAGAGCCCGTGCTCTGCAACAAGAGAAGCCACCGCAATGAGAAGCCGGTGTACCACAACAAAGAGTAGCACCCGCTCTCCACAACTAGAGAAAGCCCGCACGCAGCAATGAAGACCCAACGCAGCCAAAATAAATAAAATAATTTTTTTAAAAATAT